GAGAGGCGTAGAATGAGGGGAGATATCATTGAAGTGTGTAAGTGGATGACGGGCATAAACAAGGGAGACATTAATAAAGTACTGAGGGTGTCGAACCAGGTAAGAACCAGGAATAATGGATTTAAGTTGGATAAATTTAGATTTAGAAAGGACATAGGTAAGTACTGGTTTTCTAACAGAGTTGTAGATGCGTGGAACAGTCTTCCCAGTGGGGTGATAGAGGCTAGGACCTTGTGTAGCTTTAAGAAGAGACTGGACAAATATATGAGTGGGAGGGGCTGGGTTTGATTGGTGTCATTGGGTGCGGGAGTTATTTCTTCGTTGGCTTTAGGTAGAGATCGTTTTAATAAGGACCTGCCTCGTATGGGCCAGTAGGCCTTCTGCAGTGTTCCTACATTCTTATGTTCTTATTCAGTCTCCACTACTATCGAGCCTCAATGTGTCATGCTTGTCTACGCTATCCTGTCTCTACACTGATGTACATAACCAAGAGTATGCAGAGATACTGTGTACTGCCCTAGTACCAGGGGCATAACTTACAGTGATATAGACACTGTGAAATTATATAAGTGCTTGGCACAAGAGTGACTCAATTTCGATAATAAATTATTAGTGACACGAGTTCTTAAGAATAATTATAAGAGTAATAATGTGAAAGACTAACACAACTCCTAGTGCAGCTGTTTGTCGTGCTGGGGGGGTGTTGCAACCCCTGAATGGGTCACAATGTATATAATGTATATTACCTTTTCATATAATTTTATATTGCTTATATTTGCGATAATAGCTAAATCGTAAATATATTGCTTTATATTATTATTTGACTTAGTTAGTTTTATTAGGTAGGATGTAACATTTATATATATTCAGTGCTCATAGTTCCAGTCTTGATTGTCTAACTACTGTAATTATCGCTCGTTGCTCGTTTCCCTGCCGGCTTGTCGGTGTTGCTGGGAAGCAACTGTCCAAGGAGCTATCACGTGATCGGGGGGGGGGGGGAAGGGTGGGGGATTCACACCTCACCTGGAGTAGTCAGTCTGGGCTACTCTCTCTTGGTGATTGGACGTATTCCTGACAAGACGTGCCTAACTCTCCCTTATTGGAAGATCGTCTCTGTCGCTTTCTTGTTGTAGGTTCTGTAGAACTCTGTTCACAGAACATTGTCTAGACTTAGTGATTTTCGACGTTGTACTGAGGTTGTGTGTCGCATAGACACTCTGAGCAACTCAGGTCCTGAGCTGTAGCTTCTGACCTAATTTGTACTGGTATCTGTGTACTGTCACAGTCAGGGATTTTCTTATGCTGAACTTAGATTCAGTAGTATGGGAGTTTTGTGACTTTTGTGGAGGATCTGCAGATGGTCCCTACTTAGTGTCGTTATATTATCTCCTTGATCCTCATTCTGTATCGCAGTTGCTTGTTATAATGCTATTGAGCTTAGCAGTCGTTTTATTGTTCAAGCAAGCTGTTCTGATTGCCAGGTTGGTCAAGAAGTTAGATGATATGAGGACTTTGTCAGTCACTGGTTCAAGTCTAGTCGAGTTGTGAGACATAGCGAACTACTTAGAGCACTTACACACACACAAACTTATTTGTATATGTATGTATTATTAAATGTTAATGTACCAGACATACTGTACTTAAGACATATAAATGTGATATGTGCCTTCAGCACAATACTACTGTACACGAGAGAAATGATGATTATTAATTTGTTTCAACTGATTAATTTATTTTAATTTGATAATATACTCCTAGACAATTTTGTTATTAATAAACTTATTAAATTTTAATTTCTTTAGTTAGTAGCCTACCAATTGCAATCTTGAAGCACTAATAATTATTATTGAATTCTAATGGATAATTGGACCAGGATACTGACTACAGTGGTCCCTCAATAATCGTCCGGCCTGAAAGTCGTCCATTTCGGAAATAGTCCTGTTTTTTCGTCAAAATATTGGCTCGCAAATGGTCCGTTAACTCGCTAATAGTCCTTCGTCTTGGACGCGTACTCACGCTCTGAGCCGCCTCGGCCTTTCCTTCCCAGCCAGTGTGCCATTGTTTACCAATGAGTGACGGTCCCCTCATGCTCCTACGAAATATTTCATAATTTTCCATTGATTTTAGTGCTTGCAAGTGCTAAATAAGCTACCATGGCTCCAAATAAAGCTTCTAGTGCCAGCCCTTTGGTAAAGAATGTGAGAAACACATAATTTATGAAAAAGTTTGTAGAAAAATACAAAGATGGTGGTGGTAGAGTGGAAGCAGTTGTGATAGTGGTTGATGAACATAAGAATATAAGAACATAAGAAAGGAGGATCACTGCAGCAGGCCTGTTGGCCCATGCTCGGCAGGTCCTTTACAATTCATCCCACTAACGAAACATTTTCCCAACCCAGTCCTCAATGCTACCCAAGAAATAAGCTCTGATAACTCTATCCACTCATTTGGGACTTGCAAATGAGTGGATAGAGTTATCAGAGCTTATTTCTTGGGTAGCATTGAGGACTGGGTTGGGAAAATGTTTCGTTAGTGGGATGAATTGTAAAGGACCTGCCGAGCATGGGCCAACAGGCCTGCTGCAGTGATCCTCCTTTCTTATGTTCTTATATTCTTATGTTCATCAACCACTATCACAACTGCTTCCACTCTACCACCACCATCTTCGTATTTTTCTACAAACTTTTTAATAAATTGTGTGTTTCTCACATTCTTTACCAAAGGGCTGGCACTAGAAGCTTTCTTTGGTGGTAGTGATGGTGGCAGAATGTAGTAGTGATGGTGGTAGAAGGTAGTAGTGATGGTGGTAACAGTTATAATAGTGGTAGAAGGTCGTAGTGATGGTGGTAGAGGGTTCCTTCTTTCGTGATTCAGCGATTCTACCAACTCCTCCAATGTTGTTGGAGTTATATAGGGCTACAAAAACCACTGCCACCTCACCACCATTATGGATGGCTTACACTCAGAGGCCCTTATATACCCAACAACAACACAACACAACACCTCTCGTGACATACGTAATGACTTATTTTATTCATTCTAGAGTATATTCCATGTTTCTATGTTATTAATATTGTTTATTATGTCATATTAGTTGAATTGTGATAGATAAATAAGCCATAGAGTTCATATTAGTGTCATATTCTCCAACAATAAACTTGCCATCCCTCCCTCACAAACAAATAGCCAGTAAAAACATAACAATGGAAGAACACTGCACGTCTACTGGCCCATACAAGGCAGGTCCTTATCAAAATGACCTCCACCCAAAGCTACCCAAGAATTTACTCCCGTACCCAATGACACAAATCAAACTCAGCTCCTCCAACTCGTATATTTGTCCAATCTCTTCTTGAAGCTACCCAAGGTCCTAGCCTCGATCACCTTACTGGTAAGTGTGATGTTAAATAAGAACTTAAGAAAGTAGGAACACTGGAACAGGCCTGCTGGCCCATACTAGGCCGGTCCTTCACAAATCCAACCTACTAACAGAACAAATGCTACCCAAGCAATAAGCTCAGGTGCAAGTCCGACTCAAATCCAACCCCTCTATCTCGTGTATTTATCCAACCTAAATTTGAAACTACCCAATGTTTTAGCTTCGATCACCCTACTAGGCAGACCGTTCCACTCATCAACTACCCCTATTACCAATGTTCATTTATACATTTTATTAGTGCCCTAGAGTCCTTATGGAGGGGGATTCCCCTTCCAAATAACCTCTCTTCCCTCTCTCCTCCTTCCTGTCTTCCATTCATCAACAACAGCCTTCAATAAAGGCAACTTTCATGTTGAATGTTCATTCTTTTGTGCATGTAAATCTATCTTTTAGGTAAAAAAAAAAATTGTTGTTGATACTTCTGGGTGTCTGGAACGAATTAATTGGATTTACATTATTTCTTATGGGGAAAATTGATTCGAAAATCGTCCATTTCGATAATAGTCCCACTTCCAGGAACGGATTATGGACGATTATTGAGGGACCACTGTACTTGTTACAAAAACCCAGTAACAGGCTGGATGCTAGAAGGGCAGTCCGTTCTAGTATTCACTGGAGATCTCTATGCTTATTAGAAATCGTGTTTTTTGTAACACTCCACTATACCTGTTACTGTCCTTGTCACCTAGTGCCACTGGATTTCCAATATTCACCAATAACTACCTCATTCTGCATATTACTGGATTCCCTAAAACTCACACTATCGCTACAGTGAGAATTAATTGATTTTCCACAAAAACCCATAGCACTATCTTTCTAGTTTAATGACCTAAAAACTCCCTCCACTGCATTGGCCAGTGCTCCAAACCTAGGTAAGTGAACCCCAACCCTGGCATTCATGTCATTTCTACCACAGAAGAGGTCCCAGTTGTCTATGAATGTTACTGAATTTTCCTTACAGCCAGCAATTGACACCAATGTACCAGAGTTCATTTCTTTTAAAATGGTTATTTATTAAGTTGTTTTAGGTGTTCAATTGCTTTTTACTTTTTTGTAGTTTTAACTTTGAATTCATTTTTGTAATAACATAGTATGTACTTCATATTTTTTAACTAGTAGAGAAAGAGGTTTCTGACTCAGATTTTCTTTTATAGTTTCTTTTACATCTTATTACTTTATACTCGATAGTCTTTTTATAAAAATATAATCTCAGTGTTTCCATTTTTCAAGTTTGTCCTTTAAGTTTATTGAATGTTTGTAATTTCTTTAATAAATAAAAAAAATGCCAGATTAGCATAGCTATAGCATTTAGACTCAGGTTTTAACAGGTTACTAAGCTTGTATGTTGCATGCTTGCAATCCATATAGCAAATATATAATTAGTGTATTTATAATTTATTCCCTGTACTGACATATAATTAAAGGCATCAGAGTCAGAAGTGCCATAAATAAAGGAGTCAGAGGTTTTATGTGCCGACTCCACAGCCCTACTTATAACATGCAAAAACTTTAAATTTTCTCATAATTCCATAACATATATACCAAACTTTTAATAGCATACCCTTTGAGAATCAAATGTGCCCCCTTGTGTACCACCTTCAGAGTTGATCAGAGGGCTGTTCTCATCCTCCGAATCTGTTTCCAGATCTGAGGGTCTCTCGTCCCCCGTGAAGACTTTTCGTTTACAAACAGGACACACACGACGATTTTTTGTCAACCATGGATCAATGCACTTCGTATGGTAGGCTAGAAATAAAAGAGCATAGATTACTAGCTATTAAAATTTATGCAGCAAAATTTTAAGCTAGTCTAGAGGAGGCAGACAGATAAGGAATATAAATCTCATTAAAATTACATCTTTTCTAAGCTGGGAGAGCCAGATTTAATTTTTAAAGAAAAATAACAGAAGGGAGAGCCAAAGGCAAATGTTGGGAAGATGCATGAGGTTGAGGTAAAGCAGATGAGACTTATGGGATTAAGGTGATGTTAAAAGCAGGTGGGAATTTAGTTTATAGTAGTTGGTATATTTGTTCAACATATACAAGAAAAAAGGGAAAAATATTCAAGGAATAATACAAGCATGCATACATCCTTTGCCCAAGGATAAAAGAACAACATTGTGTAAGCATTATATGGAACTATACTGGGCCAAGTGTCCAGTACAATTACAGTATTATTGAAAAAATTAAGGTTATGACAGAAAGCAGGACTGCAGAGGAGTTTGGAGGATTTAGGAATGATGGATGTGTACACCAAGGGTTTATATTGAAGCATGTAAGTAAATAACATTCACATAAATGTAAAGAAGTGTTCATTGTGATGTTAAGATTTAGAAAAAGCATTTGATAGGATGGCAGATGCTGCAAATGTATATGAATATATATAACAAGTAGAAGATTACTAAAATCAGTGAAAAGTTTGTATGCAAGGGGCCTATTTTCTAGGAAAAACAAACCTTAGAGATGTTCAACCCTTAAACTGTCCAAATGTAGATCTACGTTCGCGGGTGTAACCCTCCGAACATAATCTACGTTTTTTTACATGCTTTCTCATGGAGAAAATCAAGGTCGGAGTGCTAAGCGCAAAAACGTAGATCTATGTTTGGTCAGTTTAAAGGTTAACATCACCATGGTTGTTGAATCCTTTAGCATTCACTGAATTTTTTTTTTTAAATGCTGGCCATCTCCTACAAAAGCAGAGATTTGAATGTGCTTCTAATACCTTATAGAATGACCCTCAGTTTTTTTTTTTATTGCTCGTGACTTTCGTGTCTCTTTGATAGCTTATGAATTTTAGAAAGAGTCCCAAAAGTTATTATTGGAATTTATGAATATTTGCGAAACACATTTTCTCAGGTCTAGAACTCCACTGCTTCACATCTCGATGCCTCACTCCATTTGGGAGAGAGTTAGGGCTATCTGAATTGTTACTTGAGGATGAGAGCTGCTCAACTGGCTTGTGGAAATCTTAATTTTCTGAGCATAGTTTAGGCTTTACAAAACTCAATGTAGGCCTTAAAATGCACCCCATCTGGAACAGAGAAACACTAATGGGTAATATATTTATTAATAGGGTTGTAAAAGAGGTGAATGTTAATGTTGGGGAGAGGTGTGGGATTAAAAGATAATGACATGCAAAATGGAGGCAAAGAAGGGAATGTATGAAAGTATAGTAGTACCAACACTCTTATATGGGTGTGAAGCCTGGGTTGTAAATGCTGCAGTGAAGAGGTGGTTGGAGTCAGTGAAGATGTCCTGTCTAAGGGCAATGTGTGGTGTAAATGTTATGCAGAAAATTCAGAGGTGTGGAGTTAATAAAAGTATTAGTCAGAGGGCTGAAAAGGGGTTGTTGAGGTGGTTTGGTCATTTAGAGAGAACGGATCAAAGTAGAATGACATTTAGAGTGTATAAATCTGTAGAGGAAGGAAGGAGGGGTAGAGGTTGCCCTCGAAAAGGTTGGAGGGAGGGGGGTAATGGAGGTTTTGTGGGCAAGGGGCTTGGACTTCTGGCAAGCGTGCATGAGTGTGTTAGATAGGAGTGACTGATGACGAATGGTATTTGGGGCCTGATGAGCTGTTGGAGTGTGAGCAGGGTAATATTGAGTGAGGGGATTCAGGGAAACCGGTTATTTTTACATAGCCGGACTGAGTCCTGGAAATGGGAAGTACAATGCCTGCACTTTAAAAGAGGAGTTTGGGATATTAGCAGTTTGGAGGGATATGTTGTGTATCTACATATGTATATGTTTCTAAACTGCTGTATTCTGAGCACCTCTGCAAAAACAGTGATTATGTGTGAGTGAGGTGAAAGTGTTGAATGATGATGAAAGTATTTTCTTTCTGGGGATTTTCTTTCTTTTTGGGTCACCCTGCCTTGGTGGGAGACAGCCGACTTGTTTAACCCTTTCAGGGTCCAGAGGCCAAATTTCAAAGTGCGCACCAGAGTCCAAGAATTTAAAAAAAAAAAATTTATTTTTTCTTATGAAATGGTAGAGAACCTTTTTCTGAAGGTAATAAAACAAAAATTATGAAATTTGATGGAACATTGACGAAATTATGCTCTCGCGAATTTTGATGTGTCAGCGATATTTACGAATCGGCAATTTTGTCGACTTTGACTCCCATTTTAGGCCAATTACATTATTCCAGTCGACCAAATTCTTAGCTATTTCACTAGTATTACTTCTTTCTATCATTGAGCACAAAAAATCCCCAAAAGTCAACTTTTTAAACTACAAAAATAATGTATCGGAAATTGGGTTTTAATTTTGGAAATTTAACATAGGTTAAAATTTTCCCAAATTTAAAAAAATAGGGTCAGAATAAAAAATTTGGTTTTTCCCTGGCACTAAACTAACATTTCCTCTGTTCATTAGTTTATGTTTTGAGGTTTAAAAAATGAATTCCATTTTGATTTTTATACAAAATGAATTTTTATTCAAACCAAAAAAATAGAAGAATTACTGTTATGCAATATTGTAATTTTGTATAATCATCCTCACATTTGTGAATGTATTTAGCCCCCCGCTGGTTTTTTTAAAACCTTTTTCCGCTACTTTGAGCTCAGTTTCAAGTCATTCCCAGTGCAAAAAACCAAAAAAAATCATCTCTTTTCTGAATATATTTCCCTTTATAAAAACGAGACCAAGAAATCACAAATGAAACTGAAAAAAACATGCCAAAAAAAACACTGCAAAGTCGTTTTTTTTAATCGAAATCACGTTCTCTTTTTTTTTCTCTCATTTACACTGTGTGGGATTAGTTTTATGTGGTGCCACTCCCAATAAATGTATTCTCTTTCTGGCCCAAATTTTACCACTCACGCTTTCAGAGTCGCTAGTTTGGGTGCAGACCCATGGTTTGGACCCTGAACGTAAAAGCCGTGGATTACGCACGGACCCTAAAAGGGGGTTTAAAAAAAAAAGTTTTGTGTTGTGTAGTTACCATTTTGTCCTAGGCACTGCGATTTGACACTGGGGCCCTGTGTGTATATATATATAATAACATAAAATTTATTAATTATTTATATTATAATAAAATTATATAATTATATATATATGTGTGTGTGTTTTGGTACTCCCCTAATTGGGTTGTAGGGGTCGAGTCCAAGCCCCTGGCCCCACCTCTTCACTGATCCCCACTAGGCCACTCTCCTGAACGTGGGGCTTTGTCATACCTTAGCTTAAAAAAATGTTGGACCCTGCCCCCCCCAACAACGCCCCCCAAACTATTCCACTTCCTGACTATCTGGGTGAAAAAATACTTAAATCCCTGCGATTTATTTGTGTCTTAAAATTCCAAATTTGTCCCCTTGTTACTGTGTCCCCTCTGGAAATCCTGTCTTTGCTCTTGCAATTCCTCTATTTTTTTATGCGTTTCTGTCCCCCCCATCTCCCTGTCCTCCCGTGTCGTAAGGTTGATTTGCTTTAACCTCTCCCGTAGGAATACCTCTTAGCTCTGGGGTAGTCTTGTTGCAAAAATTTGCACTTTTGTGTTGGTGTTTGGGGGTGTTGTTTGTTTGTGTGTGGTGTGTTTGTGTGTGTGTAGTGTGGTGTGTAGTTGTGTGTAGTGTGTGTGTGTGTGTGTGTAGTGTGTGTGGGTGTGTAGTGGGGTGTGTAGTGTGTGTGTAGTGTGTGCGGGTGTTTTGTGTGTTGGGGGCGGGGGTTTTTGTGTGTTTAGGTGTGTGCGGGTGTGGTGGTGTTGTGTGTGTTGTGGTGTGTGTGTGTGGTGTGTGTGTGTGTGTGTAGTGGTGGTTTGTGTGTAGTGTGTGTGTGTGTGGTGTGTGTAGTGGTGTGTTTGTGTGTAGTGTGTGTTTGTTGTGTAGTGTGTGTTTGTGTGTAGTGTGTGTCGTGTGTATAGTGTGTGTTGTTGTGTGTATAGTGTGGATGTGTGTATAGTGTGTGTGTGTGTGTGTAGTGTGTGTGTGTGTGTCGTGTAGTGTGTGTGTGTGTGTAGTGTGTGTGTAGTGTGTAGTGTGTGTGTGTAGTGTGTGTGTGTGTAGGTGTGTGTGTGTGTAGTGTGTGTGTGTAGGTGTGTGTGTGTGTAGGTGTGTTGTTGTGTGTGTGTGTGTGTGTGTGTGTGTGTGTGTGTGTGTGTGTGTGTAGTGTGTTGTGTTGTAGTGTGTGTGTTGTGTGTGTAGTGTGTGTGTGTAGTGTGTGTGTGTGTAGTGTGTGTGGTAGTGTGTGAGTGTAGTGTGAGTAGTGTGTGTAGTGTGTGTGTAGTGTGTGTGAAGTGTGTGTGTGTAGTGTTTGTGTGTGTGTCGTGTAGTGTGTGTGTGTGTAGTGGTGTGTGTGTGTGTGTGTGTGTGTGTGTGTGTGTTGTGTGTGGGTGTGTGTGTAGTGTTGTGTGTGTGTAGTTGTGTGTGTGTGTAGCGCTAGTGTGTGTGTGTGTAGTGTGTGTGGTGTGTGTGCTGTGTGTGTGTGTAGTGTGTGTGTGTGTAGTGTGTGTGTGTGTAGTGTGTGTGTTGTAGTGTGTATGTGTGTAGGTGTGTGTGTGTGTTAGTGTGTTGTGTGTGTAGTGTGTGTGTGTGTAGTGTGTGTGTATTGTAGTGTGTGTGTGTTGTAGTGTGTGTGTGTGTAGATGTGTGTTGTGTAGTGTGTGTGTGTGTAGTGTGTGGTGTGTAGTGGTGTGTGTAGTGTGTGTGTGTGGGTAGTGTGTGTAGTGTGTGTGTGTGTGTAGGTTGTGAAGTGTGTGTGTGTGTGTAGTGTGTGTGTGTGTGGTGTAGTGTGTAGTGTGTGTGTTGTGTGTG